GATCCTGGCATAAAGCGACCTTGAGGTCACTAAAGGCTTTAGCCACTTCCTGGGTCCGGTGCACAGCCTGGGGAGCTGCCACGCGCGTGAAATCGGTCAGGGGTGAAGCCCTCTCGGCAAGGTTGGGAATAAACCGCCCATAATAATTTAAAAGCCCCAAGAATGCCTTGATTTGGGTCTTTGTTTTTGGTACTGGCCAGTCCCGGATGGCCTCTATTTTATCTAACTGAGGCTGGATTTTTCCCTCTCCCACAATGTACCCGAGGTATTTGGTGGAGGCGAACCGAACCGGCTTTTCTTCAGGTTAATATGCAGACCTGCTTCCTCCAGTGAAGAGACGACGGCCTGGCAATGTGCCAAATGCGCTGGCCAAGTTTAACTGAAAATAACCAGGTCGTCCACTATGCAGGTAGGCAGCTGCATAGTGGAGATGGGATCTCAGAAGCCGGTCCATCAGGCGTTGAAAGGTGGCAGGGGCTCCATGGAGGGCAGCACTTTGTACTGGTAAAGCCCCATAGGAGTCGAAAAAGTGTTCTTCGGCTTTGTCGGGCTCAACAGAGGGATTTGCCAATAACTTTTTGTAAATTACTAGGTGGTAATAAATTTGGCCTTCCCCAGCTTCTCCAGGAGCTGATCTATCCAGATCATCGGGTAGGCATCAAAACAGGAGACGTCATTGAGTTTCCTGAAGTCATTGCAGAAGCGCCAGGAGCCGTCAGGCTTCGGGATGAGCACAATGGGGCTGGACCAGGAGCTGTGGCTTTCCTCGATGACGTCCAGCTCCAACATCCTCTCCTCACGCTTCGCTACGAGTACCCGGTAAGGGGGCATCCATACAACAACTCCAGGGGGCGTCTCCACGTGATGTTGTACCAACCATGTCTGCCCCGGCAGATCTGAAAAGAGGTGGCGGTTCCAGTGCAGGAGCATCTGGGCTTCCTTGACCTGTGAGGGGGGGAGTTTTGGAGAGAGAGAAATTATATCCACAGAGAAGGAGGTAGAGTTGCTGGACAACAATGCAGGGACTGTCTCTTCCGCAGGGGCTTCTCTCTAAGGTGGTATATCTTTTCCTTTTTTCAGTGGTCTGGATGGTATACCTTGTATGGCCCTGTCCGTTCACAGATTTTGTAGGGTCCCTGCCATCTCGCGTAAAGCTTGCACTCAGGTGAGGGCAGTAGCAGCATTACATGATCCCCAGGGTGGAAGATCCTATGCCATGCTGAATGATCATAGTATTTATTTTGTCTGCCTTGTGCTTGCTGTAGGTGTTCCCCCACTAGTGGCTTCAGCTGTGCAAGCCTGTCCTGAAGGGAATGGACATAGTCGAGCACATTGTGGGAGGACAAGTGCTGCGACTCCCAAACCTCCCGGGTCGACGTCTAAGATTCCTCGGGGTTGTCCCCCATATAAAGAGGGAGAACCCTGTGGAGGCTTGGGGTACCTCTCAGATGGCAAACATCAGGAGAAGGAGGACTAAGTCCCAATCTTTCCTGGAGGCATGCGAGACCGTTTTCAGCATCTGCTTTAGGTATAGTCCGAGGCGGACGCACTGTCCAGGTCGTAATATGCCTTCTGGGCCTCGTCACAAAGAAAGGGAGCCATGATGCTGGCCCATAAGTTGCGGTCCCATTGCAGGCATTCCACCATCCGCTCGAAGGCTCTCAGGTAAGCCTCCACATCGTCTTCAGGCGTCATCTTCTGCAGGACATGTCTGGGCTGGACCTGAGCCTGTGTCGGTGATGCGGGAGTGAGTGAGGTGGGTGAAGTCTGAATTTTTTCTCCCATCTGTCGGCACAGATCCCGTGAAGCAGTTACTTGGTCCTGTAAATATCTGCAACTCAACTTCTCCACAGGCTGTGTCCTGTATCTATGTCTTCACCCTCAGCACCTGCAGGAGGTCCCAACTGCAGCAGTGCAGGCCTGCTGGGGGAGGTTTTTGTACGAGTGTGTAACACTGTGTGGACACAAGGGCACTGTAAATGGAGTGTTTAGTTCGGCAGTAATAATCTCCTGCATCTTCAGCCTGGACTCCTGTGATGGTCAGAGTGAAGTCAGTCCCAGACCCACTGCCACTGAATTGCTCTGGGATCCCAGTTAGATGGTTAGTTGCCCAATAGATCAGGAGTTTTGGAGCTTCACTAGGATGGAGCTGAACTGGTCTTACAGCTCACAGTGACTATCTGTCCAGGGAGAACAGTCTTTACTGCTGGAGTCTGAGTCACAGTAACCTTTCCACTGGATTCTGAAAATAAAACATCAAACAATGTATGATGAAACAAAATAATTCAAACACTTCATAGAGTAATTTATTATTTAAAATATTTCATGTTTTATACAAATTATTTTGACTTAAAATAAAATGCTTATACACCCATTCCTACCCTGTGCAAATATGAAGTGTGTCCAGATGAAGACAGTGATGAAAGTCATTGTTGCTGTGGGTTCTGTTGCCATGAAGGGCAGCTCTCAGTCATGAAGTGTTAAACTCACAGGGCTATAAACACTCCCAGAACACTGAAGCATGTGCTGCCAATGCAGTGTCTCTTCTCTTCAAATTGTCTTCCTTTCTTGGTAAATGTCTCTTGACCTTGGTTTGTGGATTGTGTCTTTGGCTCTTTATACTGAATCTATCTCCTGTTTTTTTGGATTTATTTTCTTTATTTTACTGGTAATCTGATTTGTTGCTGTCTTGTAACCTGCATAAGTTACTCAACAGCTGTGACTGAAGGGTGCATACTGGCTGCCAAATGTATCAGATTTAATTTTCAATAAATATGACACTTTTGTTTTTAGTGCAATTGAAGAGAGCATAACAGGGATGTCGTGTATGTCTTTTAATATTTTTATCTGGGCGGTGTTGGGCATGAAGTGAATATGAGGCATCACAACAGTTAAAAACTCAAATCTTCCTCAGAGCAAGTGTGAGGATGAGAACAAAAGTCACCTTACAGTGTGACAGTTAGGGTTACATGAACAGTAAACTAACTGTCTGAAGCTGAAGTTTATAGATATGTGTGTGTTTCCAAGAGGTTTTTCTCAAAGTGTTCAAAGAAAAATAAATGGAATTAAGTCACATCTGGCTTGTGTTTTATGTGTTGGCTTGGAGAATGAAACACTGAATCCATCTGAAATTTCAGATGATCAGGTTTAATATTTTCGTGTTTATGGAGAGCACGCTCACTGGTTACAGCAAAAGATCTTTTCTATGAACATAAAATAACCTATTGAAGATGTTTCAGGCAATATATGTTTTATACCAAATTTTACAATGATATTCTTAGCCTCATTTTATCTTAGTCCTGTTACAATGTGCTGATACTGAACTTTCTCACCTTCATTTAAAATTCAAACTCATACCAGACTGCAGCACCAGCCAGTACGATAAATGTTGTGGTTCGTTCTTTTGCAATAATACATAATGAATTTACAAGGGTTTAAATTTGAAACTCTCAAACACTAATCTCTGATTTTATGTTAGAAACATGGAAATTTAAATTCAAAAACATTTATTGGCGTGACTAAGAAACTTCAGTGTTGCCAAACACTGAGGACCCCAAAGTAGCAACTTACCCCTAGTCCAGGAAATCTGAGCATCATGCTTTTGTAACCAGGGGAACCCCAAGACCAGAGGGGGAAGCATTGTGTAACTCACACTCCACATGCTCCAGTGATGCAAATACAATTTTCCAAAGCACACATAGTCACTACCAAATGTTGGCTGCAGAGGTCATATTGATTTTCATCACCCTGTAGAGTTCATCTAGGGTTTTAAGTGTTACGTGCTCGCATGTAAAGAAGTTATCTTAATGTTGGTTTTGGTTTCTCTGAATGCGGCTCTGAGACGCTCTGTTTTAGGTCTGTCTGGGTAGCTACATTTTACAATTTTTACATAAAAAAGCAAGGCATCTCAATTAAACTAAAGAATAATAGGTGCCGGGCAGTACGGAGGTGCAGTGGTTAGGATGCTGTCTTGTAACCACTGCTGCCAAGGGGTCAATTCCTGGGATGCAGTCTGCATGGAGTTTGTGTGTTTTCCTTGTGATCACGTGCCTTTCCTCTGGTTGCTCTGGATTGCTTAAACAACATACTGATAGGTTAATTGGCTTCTGGGAAAATTGGCACTGGTATGATTGTCTGTGTGTCCTGCGATGGACTGCATCCTGTCCAGGGTGTATTCTGCCTTGATTCTGTTGCTTTCTGGGATAGGCTCCGGGTCCCCTGCGATCCTGTTTTGGATAAAGCAAAACAGGCACTTAATTGCATTAAGTGATGCAATTAAGTTTATATAACCCCTTTAATAAGGCATTTATTAAAAGGTTTATCTGAATGAATGTAGGAGAATTGATCAGAAACTGAATAAAGAACAGGATATAGTAAAAAAAGATTAAAGGGTCATCACCTCTGATTTGAGCCAGCTGTGTCATACACACCATTTTAGGTATAGTTAGCAAGCTAACCAGATTTTAAAAATGAAGAGGCCAAATATGAGAGCATTGCCAAGGAAATCACAAAAAAAATGCTGGCTGGGGACACACTTTGTAAATTGAATAGAATGCCTAGAAATACAAAAGGATCCACATATATTTCAGAGACACATACTTTACAAATGAATGATTCTGAGCTGCAGGAAAGCAGTTCACAACAGGTTCAAAAGACCAATTCTTCATTAAGGGAGTCAAAATTCATCCTCAGAACAACCAGAACCTCAACACACAGGACAAGAGGACCCAGTGCAGGACTAAAATCATACTAACTACAGGCGTATGAAAAAATGTACTCAGGAATTCAATGAAATATTGATGGCATTGTTCTGTGCAGCGTTATTATGATTACAATATAACATTTTAGAATAGTTTAAACACGTTGAACTGTCTGCAAACCTGTTTAATTTCTACTGATGTTTTTTTAACTTCTTTCATCAGTGGGGTTGAATACATCTGGGGACACTGGCTGTGTAAACTGTATGTTAATAATGTGTATCAATAGAAACACAGGGCAAATGTATTTCAAATCTCACAGTTTTTATTGACAGCTTTAAGCAACATTAACTTGGAAATGTGAAGGAAAAAGATGTGTACTGTACATTGTATTATTAGTATTACTACAAGGAATTCTAAATAAGAAACAATGAAGATTCTGCAGCATAAGCTCAATGTTTAAGTAAGGATGTCTATGATGATGTTTACGAAGAATCTATAATTTTGCAGACAAATATGCTAATTGAGCAAAGAATACTATCAACTATATTTGTTGAAAGATTGATTCTCCATTTTTATCTATTTGGTATCGAAAATAACTGGGTGTTGCTGTAAATCTACTTTGTAGAGTGGTCATGCCCATCTTCATCCACCCAGGGCCCTGCTCCTAACTTGTGGATCTTGATGCTGTGGTCGGCTGCAATAATGAAAGATTTTCCAGGAGTGACACTGTAGTTGAGCACAACGGTTTCCAGGCAAGTATTTCTGTCATGCTCATCTTCCACGAATACACAAGCATAGTCGACACCTTTCTCAGGAAATGGTAAGAGTGCGTTGATGTCGAGTTGAACGTATTGGTCCTTGAGATCAGACTTAAAGACCTTCTTGGTGCTGGACTCTCCACCGTCGTGTAACACCATTTCTTCAAGCTCCTTCTTGTCCACTCCATAAAATATACGAAGTGGCTTCCCAGTTGCATTTGCCACATGGAGTTTGGAGCTTGGTCTTGCAGATCGTAGGTTAATTGTGACATTTCCACCAGCATTAACTAAAGTTGAAGATGAAGTTGAAGATGCTCCAGCTCCCATATTGTCTTTCTGTCAAAACTGTACTGAAATGTAGAGACAGATATCAGTAAATTAAAAAATGTCCAAGTTTAATTATATTTTTAACTTTCTTCATGTTTGTACAGAAGAACAATATATGATACAGTTGTAGCGGCAATGCTTGTTAATAAGACAGAATTAAGTGTTGCTGTGCTTTCCCAAATGAGACCCCATCTCTCTCTTCATCTCTGTGGTGCAGCCACAGAGAAGCTATTCATGCAGGCTGATTTAAAGATGTTTTCTTTTGATAAGGGACAGCTCCCAAATGGGAATGCACTTAGCTAAGCCT